ACAAGTATGCATATACATGTAAGATAAAAATGTATGAATCAGAATTATAATATAACTATAAACATTAATTCTTCCTCTCTATTCTAAAATCGTAATAACTTATCTGCATTGCGTCATTCAAATTAATCATGCAATCTTACGTAACGTTAATACCAGATGCCTCTTGACGACCAATCACCGAATTGTAAACCAAAACTTTTCTCTTCGCATGCTTCCATATTTCATAACTACGCACTTCAGCTTTTGCTCTCTACTGTGGTAAGATGTAATTCGCTGGCTTGCTTTCTATCCCAACAATATCAAAAATGTAAATCTTCTGTGGAAAGGCACGACTAGAGTGCCAAGTGATTGTGGCCACAAATATCAATTGGAAATAAAAATGGAATTAAAACTGCCTTCGACTGCCAAGTTCTTTAAATACTACGCAATCAAAATTCTTCTTCAATATGGGTCTAATCACGCATCTACAGTGTTCCGTCATTTCCTTTGCTTTTATTATGACATACATAAACGGATTATCGTTCATTAATAGATCGGAAAGCTAATGCAATTGGTCAACTAAAAGAGTAGTAACAGGAAAAGTGAAAAATGATTCTCTGCGGAACGGAAAAAGGAAAGGATAAATGAAAAATTCAAGCTCATGAATATAATTTGCCACTCGCTTGTGAAGTATTTAAATACCTCAAAAGTAAAAGCGTCAGTGGTTTAGAAGAAAACAATTAGGCTCAAAATTTGGGGTGGAAATCTTTCATAATTCGAAATACATTCATTCTAAACAGGAAAACAAGGTAGGCAAGAAGTTAGACACAAATCAAATCATGATGGCAAAGTGAAATATTTAACAACTGACAAAGTAGGGCGCAAATGTCTGCATTTAAAGATTACTTTAAACTCTGGTACTAACACTTGTATAAATAAATCGTTCGTAATCTCCAATTTACAATGTATCTATTTACAATGTTTTGCTTTTTTAATGGTAGGAAAATGCTAAACTAGTACTTTGGAAATTAGGAAATTGTTCTAAAAATAAAATATTGTAGAGGGAGAGAAAGCAAAGACCTAATACTGAGGTAATAAATAAATATAATTATTAGTAATTAAATAATCATACATTAATTAGTGATTATACTTAAACGTGTACAATTATATAATAAGAACTCTTCAAGACTCTTCGTGAATCAACAAAGGTTATCCCACAATTTACACACTGGGAATAATTCTGCTAAGCATTCAGTAAGAATTATAATTCTGATATCTTGATTCTTTTGAACAGGGCTAGAAAGACCCTATGTAAAATACATGCGAGCAAGAGCACTAAGAGGTAAACACACTGAATTCTGCTGTTGATTATAAAAAAATAGCAATCCGTGTAACTCAATATCCTTCTAAAGACCCTTTTTCTTGTTAAAGTAGCAGCAAGTATCAATGACTCAGTGTTTTCTATGAGAAATCTCGAAGCTTAACACGAGGGAGTGAAATTAATGATCTTTACTATATTCCAGTAATTAATTAAAGTTCAATGAGTCCAAATTTAAGCAGCGTACATTAATGGTGAGCCTATACATTTCACATTAATAAAGCCCACCATCTTAATAAAGTTTCCAGCTTCAAGATACTCAACATTTTATTACAAATTTTGCATGAAAAATGTGCATTTTTGTGAAATTATATTTGCTCAACTTTAAACTCGGTTAATTATACAATATAATCTGAGATACTATAAGTTACTAACACTTTTTATCTCACGGCTAATGCTAGATGTTAAGTTAGACTGGAATAAGCTATAATTTTCGATAGGTAAGATGTATTTAGCACGCTTTATGCTTAATATTTTCAGAGTTTGCTAGATTTCTCAGAAAGTAACTCCATCGTAAATTGAGGAGAACCAGTATACATAGGCCTTCTGAAAAATGTATTTACCAGTTCCCTCCTTTAACTATTTATTTTGAACATATACTTCTGTTTTCCTCATATCCTTTCAACAGTTTCGACATTTTGATTACGAAGATTCAATAAATATAGAACCCAACATTTTACCTACCCCATGTTAAAAGAAATCATCCAATCTTCCTAACACTTTGGTAAGTGAAGAAAAATTGCACATACTAGCATGCAAATTTCGTAGAGATGTACATAATTTATCTCATAGTGAATGCATAATTTATCCGGTTACATCTTGAAATTAATTAACGTTTTCAAGAAGTCAGCTGCAAATTCAATAACGAGTGCTGTTTTACCTAACACAGAGCCATCAACTGGCAAAACTAGCAACTTTTGTTTTGTAATTAGGACATGAGTTTGCAAAAATGTATCTAACTTCAGCCCGCATTAAAAAGGGATCTAAATTGGTAAATATGTTCTCGAATATTTCTGTAAACTTTAAACTAAGTATACAAACATTTTACGTTTGATTTATTACAGCAAACTGTAAAAAACATACAAAATTCAGATTTTGGGTTTAAAGAAACCTCTCATCAACTGTGTTAAAAACGTAGTCCTAAATTCGAAGCCTCATTTTGACAAACTTCGCAACAGGAAGTACATTAAACAGAAAAAGGCTGTAGCCGTCATTTTGATAAATCCTGTGTAACTTATAAATGGCCTTTCTTTACATAATCAGAAGGTCATTGTCTAAAGTGATTTTTTTTTGTTGCACGCTATAATTCGTTTAGCAAATTTGCATTTCATAGACAAGAGCCTTTATCCTAGCAGCTAATTAGATTTAAAGCTTTCCAGGTTTTTAGAAAACAGGAAAGTATGTGCAATTTGAGAAATTCGGATTACCATCTACTACTTGGCATGGATGCTAATATAGGAAAATGAAAATAAATAAGTTACTTATAAAGTAAAAAATAAAAAAGATTCTGTACCAGTTACGTAACATATGGCGTTGGTACACCTTTATTAATTACAACAAAGACAAGAATGGTCATAAAAATATCAATTCCATATATTAATAATTAAATGCATTTTAATTTACACTGAAGAGCCAAAACATTATGTTTACCTACTCAATAACATGTGTCGCAACCTTTGGTCTGCAAAACAGGTGAAAATTGCCTTGGCATGGATGCTTGGTAGATAGCTTGGTGGTAAGCTCTTGGTAGATGACTGGAGACAAGTTGTGCCAAATGTCTAAGCAACGGTCACGCAAAGTCGAGATGTTCCAACATTGTGGTGTTTGCGCCCTACTTTGTCAGTTGTTGTCAGTTGTTGCTTCCGCTCTATGACATCCCAAATATGCTCTATCGGGTTAAGATCCGACTAGTTAGGTGGCAGGACATATAATTGGAATTCATTCTTATGCTCCTCAAACCTCTCAAGAACAGTTCGAGCTTATGAAATGGGGCGTTGTCCTGCTAGAAAATTCCATTTCCAATTTCAAAGATAGACGCCATGTAAGGGTGCAATTGATCCACAGTTATGCTCAGATAATCCGCAGCTTTCATAGTCTATTCTGAAAAAAAAACTAAGGGTTCGAGGAGAACGTCACCCAAAGCATAATACTGCCACCACCAGACTGTGTATGACTTGCTGTACAGATGGGAAGCAACTGCTCTCCTGGATGACAGCCTACCCTGACACGATCATCGATGGGATGAATGAGAAATCGCGATTCTTTCGACCAGGCAACTGTCTTCCACTTATCCATGACCCAATCTCGATGTTCCCAGGCCCATTGTAGACGTAGTTGACAATTACGCTTGATCAGCAGAGGCACATGAATGAGACGTCTGCTGCACAGTCCCATATCCAACAGTGTCCACTGAACTGTGTGTTCCGAAACACTTGCGCTTGGATCAGCTGAGCCACAGTATGGCGTCGATTTTGCTCTACCAAGGGGGACTCTCTCCAACGTTCTTTTTCTTTATTGACACTTGGACGTCCGACACCTTGACGTCTACTGCTGTTTTCACCGTCATTTATTCACTTTGTATAAAAACTAACAGTGACAGATCATGAATAACGTACCAGTCGTGCAGTTCGGGGATACTCTTTCCGAGTCTTCGGGCCATTACAATCTGCCCTCTATCATAGTCACTTAGATCATCAGCCTTTCCATCACTAGCAAAAGTTAAGTGCAACAATGATTCCTTACCTTCGCCATCAGCAGATAAATACCATTCCCACTTAATTACGTGCTCTCAACGTTATCCAGACGATTTCCATGAGAAATGTGGGGATGTAATAATGTATTACCTCGTCAGTGTATATTAGTTAGATCCAATTAAAAACAAAACAAAATAAAGACTTGAACTAGGAATTGCGTATATTGTTTTTAAATAGCTCAGTTTCGTGATAGGAAGTTGGTTAAATATGAAAGATAATTTAAAGGTCTTATGCTTTCTCTTACGACAACATACTGAGCAGCGAATATGCGCGAAGGTAGGTGGGAGTAATTTAAAGATGTTTAACCAAGCGCCAAAGCTTACCAAAAAGCAAGGAGGATGAATGCTTTTTTTATAGTCTTTCTGTTCTCCGCCTGCCTGTTTCTGAAAAATGACCGTATTGGCAGATTTCATTTTGCAAGAACATGATTTTATATATACATTGAAAACAATGTACCTCCTTCAAGGTACAGAAATAATAATTTCGAAAGAAGATGCTACGTATACATTCAACAATATTCAAAAAGTGTTTTTTTTATTTCAGTTTCATTCTTTGCAATTTGATTCTTATTCGGAAATAAATGCGTTTGTTTAAACATAAAGCTTTATCTAACTAAATATTAGCATAAATATAGGTCACCTTATTTGCTAATAATGGAAACAAAAGTTTTATTAACGTATGCTCATCAATATGTGCAATTAATTAATCACTGTAACAATGATATTAAAATGCATCAAATTATGTGGCAATCCAAAGATAACTTTTCGGAAGATTTTAAATATGATTTCACTTATTTAGGATAAACTTAGATAACTTTCCTAGTGTTTAATGTTAGTATCAAAGCAATTCGATTTAAGATAATTAGAAAAAGAAAACAAAAGACGACTTACTTTGAGTGGATATAACAGTAGTTCCTTTGACAGTGACCACCAGTTGGCTGTCTTTCTCTTCATCGTGGGAGAATACTGATGCACCCTCTGGACTGAGATCGAATGACAGTTTTGTTACCTGTCCGCTGGGCTTCACAACATCAGTGAGTCTTCCATTCTCGTCATAAACATAGAAGAATGATCGTCCAGCTGCATCAGATCGGCTCGTTAGAAGACCGATGGCATCATACTGAAACTTTATTTTTAAGCTGTCTGGATCTACGATTGTCTCCAGAAGCCCTTGTTTAGTTACTTGTACTCGGCATTTGGTTCCTCTTGCTGTTTCGATTGTATGCAAGCTGTTACCAGAATCTCTGAGGAAAGATACTTTATTGCCAGACGCATCTGTAACTGCATTCAGCTTACCAAAACTCGTATTTACATTGTACAGAAAAGTGTACACAGTCTTGCCGGTTAATATACTGCGAGTGACAGAATGCTGGCCATATTTATTGAATACATACACTTCGTGATTGTCAGGATAAGCGATCTGAAATTCAAACTGCTCATCGGGTTGGGGCAAATATGGGATCGCGGACAAGATTCTCAAGCTTCCTTGGTCAGCGATATGGACAACTCCATCACTTGTTACGGTCAAAGATGAAATAGCGAAGAGCTTCGTATCCATTGCTAGGAAACCTTCATCTTCTACTGCGCAAGTGCAGTTATGCCACTCACAGAGACATCCATCTTCTTTTCCAGCGAAATGCAGTAGTTCGCCATCTGGGCTAAGTCTCCTTACCCTGCGTAGAATAATGTAAAGGTAAGTGTTCTGTAGACTGCATCATTGAAAATTTTTTGTTTTAATAATTATACAAAACTCACAGATGACTGTCACAAATATTCTGGGTGGCGAAAATACATAAGTGATTAATCTTATGTAAAAGGTATGACAGTTCTACTCTCTCTTTCTTTGTTTCAAGCCTTGCTGCGTCTTTTTAAACGCCATATTTGTATACTTCAAGAAAAAAACATCTATTTGAAAAAGACCGGATGGCAAAATTTAAAATGAAATCTAATAAGCTAAATTTTACAATTAAAGCTTCAGGGAAATCAGTGTCATCTGTAGCAAATAAAGATTAGATTTGACAGGATAAAAGAAAATGTCTCATTTGATGTAGAAATATTTAATTTGGGTTTGGTTTATTTGACTATGGCAAAGCCCGCTAGGGCGGTCTGCCTGAGGCGAAGAATGCCTTCGTGGCGGACTTTCTTTGGAAAACTGGTTCGTAGCCACATTAAACTCAGGGAAAACCCCGAAAACGCCCTTGCTGCCAGCCGTTCGCCTGGAATTAAACCCAAGTTGAACTAAAAGTATTCAGCGACTTCACATATCAACCTCTAGTGGGCCTGACATTTAACTTTAAATTTTTGCATAATCACCATTAGCTTTGGAAAAAATGCTTAGAACTAATAATACTTATGCTCCACTAACTGAAATAATATCTTTGAGTATGGATCCAAAACCTTTGCCGAAGCCAGTGCAAATGAGTGCAGCTGCACCCGGGAGGCAAAGTTTGTATCAGGGGGCAAAAGCCTAGCACTGAACCTGCACGGATCAGTTGCTACTAGAAGCGTCTCTTTACTTTGTATTTCTAAGCAAAGTGATAGTCGGATGTTGGTATGTTTTAATACTGATAACAGGGAGTTCAGATAAGACTGTCAGGAATTCGTCAAATTATTGAAGATTTACAAATAGTCATAATACCAAAAATACTTGACTTTTAATGGGAACGAAAATTCAGGGTCATGGATACTCATGAGCTAAATATCAATACTTCCACTCTCCATTAAGTGACTGTTTCAGCGTATAGTACTTCCAGGAAGCAGGATACTGTACATTACTAAACATTAACAGGAGATTCAGATTTTGGGTAAGTGATTAAGATAATCATGGAGTTATATTAGCATTATTAGAGGATATGATTACAGCTTTAAACTGCAGCTGTTGCTTACTGTTAATTAAATTTTTCCACTAAATGCATATTAATAAGTGATACATAAAAGTTTACAATTCTTTAAATTTTATTTTTCTAATTTGAAAGGAATACGTAAACCTGCGCTTCATAATATAATAATTACCTGTTCACATTTTTTGAGTCAACTTCAGCAATGTAAAGTTCTCCAGTCGGTCCAAAAGTAAAACTTATAAGGGAACCCAAAGCAGTTTCGCCAGTCATCCGTGATTTGTGCAGATTGGTACTAGAAGTCTTGCAATACGCTGGTTGTCCAGCAACAGCCATCACACGTTTGTCATGTGTCAGTTTAAGCACCATGTGATCATCTATGAAGTACAAAGCTCCATCCAAAGGATTGATTGCTAAATCCGTTGGCCATCGAAGTTTGACCTAGAAAAGTGTTTTTAATATTAAGTACTTTAATAATTCATCATATTGCAGTTTAAGTCAAACAACACAATAAATTATTAAAACGTATTAACTACAGTTTAAGTCAAACAATACAATAAATTACTAAAACATATTAACAGAATATGTTGTTGTTGTTGTGATTTATCTCACTTGTCTGAGACCAACATCAGAACAAGACCAGGAAATTCATCGTGGTAAGGAGTGTAAGATTGCGCTTGTCGTTGGAAAAGAGCCTTGAGCACCATATAGGTGACAGTATGATTTTGCTCAATTTCGCTCTCAATTTTGAAGAAGGGCAACCCGGGGGAACGAGTCTGATGGTCTCCCACCTCTCTTTCCATACCACTAGCCTCTCGAGATAACTTTCGGTTTGCCGCATATTTAGAGTGCCCCATGCCGTACAGACACTATACATTTATAAACATCCAGACGTTCTTCGGAATTTGAACCCGGGTCCTTCCTTACCTAGCAGTCAGCATCGATAAGCACTATCCTGGTTGGGCTTCTCTAGAGAATATAATGCCTTTTTATTACATATATCCAGAACTTTACGCGCCATAAAAGACTTACAGTATCCGAGCTTGAGCTCGAAGCACGCTTTAAAGTCGATGGCTTGAGACATCATGTCACGGCTGCAGATCATCCAAGATGGGGGCCTCACATTAACAAAGCAGCTGTAATCTTCGATAATGGTGTCATTTGCTGGGAAACATTTTGCAACAGCACTTCGTTGTCTCTAACGAAAACTGCTGGCGTCACTAGAAAGACAACGTAGCGAAGCCATATTGACTGCATCTTATATGAGCTGACAATGCTCACTGGATGTCTTGTTAAAATAAAAAGGATGAAACGAAATTGCTAGCGGTTATTTAGCTATGAACTTGCGGCTTCTGTATCTTATATCAGTAATATCATGGCTTTAATTATTGTAATATCTTTGTTTTTGAAGTTAAAAGTGTATGTAATAAATAAAAAAGCTGTTTTATGCAATATATATGATATAACTTATAATAATATTTCCCTAAAATCTCTTATTTTTCTGCCTGTCTTCTGTTACATTGCTATGCTGTTATAAAATTATTATTGCTATGCTATGCTGTTATATTTTCTTAAAATCTGTGTTATCAAACACATGCGAGGGCTATGTGTGTAACTGTAGGGATGCTTTCGTGGAGGTCGTTCTATGGAAAAACAGGGGAAGAATCTCAAAAACAACCAAGCAGATAGCCCATTTGTCGGGATTCAAGGTTGGATTACTTGCGTGATGGCATTTTGTTTTATAACAAACGTAGGGGAATGTGCCTTATGAGTCTCTGAAAACTCGTACGACAGGTATTGCGTGTTTTTGTAAAAATTTTATTGTAGCAATATGAGATTTTATACGACAATTTTAGAACTTTCAGTAAATGTTACGGGTTTTCACCGCCAGGAATGGTGTCAGCTATGTGACTAGATTTAAAATCATGAATGATTCCTACAGGTCATTGCTCCATCATGTTTTGTTAATGTTAAAAAGTTGTTTCTTAGGTTTCTAACGATTTCGATCCTACCTCCAATTTCATACGCCAAGAAATAATTTCATTCAAGCAACTGTTGAGTTTATGCTCGAAAAGGTTTGGTTTATTTGATTTGATTATGGTAAAGCAAGCTATGGATATCTGCCTAAGAAGAGGGATGCCTTCATGGAGGACTTTCTAAAGTAAACTGACTCGTGTACACATTACACACGAGGAAAACCACGAAAATGCCCATGTAGTCAGCCCGTTAACTTGCAATCAAACTCAGGTCGAAATACCTGTGTTCAGCTTCTAAATCTACCCCTTTTTAGCCCAAAGGGCGTTAGCCCAGAAGGGCTATGAATTTTGTTTTGCCATTTTGCGCTGAAAACATTAAATATCCGTTTTACTTTACAAATTTCTGCCACCAAATATTACCGGCCTGTGTCATATTTAAAGAAATTAAATAATGAATAATTTGTACAAATGTATGTATGTTTCTCACTTTGTGTTAAAACAGCGGTAGCTAGAGCCATCAAATTTTGAATAACGTAATCCTCTGTCGAATATGGGCATCTGGAAGCCCTAATTTGGAATTTGTTTTATTATCGATTTCGTATTTTGTAACACTTTAACGAATTTTTGATTAACAAACTCAATGATTTCAAAGCGAACAATGGCAGAAAAAACAAAACAAAACAAAACAACAACAACAACAAAAAAAAAAAAAAAAAAAAAAAAAAAAAAAAAAAAAAAAAAAACAATTTTATCTCCAACGCGTTAGACTGTGCATCAGAAACCCTAAAGATATGCTCTTTTAAAATTATTTTGTGAAATTGCTGTTGAGTTGAATTTTATGGTTTAAGTGCAAAGAACATGATATTTAATAAATAAAGGTAACACACAAAACGTTAAATAAAAGGCGTTAAAAAACGCAATAGGCGCAATTAGACGCAATGTAAAATCTGAAAACTTTCAGATTTTTTTTAATTTTAAATTTAATTTAGTTTTAAAAATTGGATTTTTATCGGCTTGGAATGCTATTAGTGACTACTCTTAGAAGTAAGTGTAGAAACACATTTTTTAGCTCTTGAAGATTTTTATTTTTAATTTTATTATTAGTTCAAACAGGTTTTTTTCCCTGAAGGAGTATTGTTTTCGCTTTGCGATTTTACGTTGAATCACTATAAATGTCCGTTTCACTTTTCAAACTGTTGCCACCAAATGTTAGAGTGTTGCATTATATTTGAAGAAATTAAATAATGAAAAATCTGCATAAATGTATGTCTATTTCTCGCATTGCGATAAAAATACGGTACATAAAGCCATCGAATTTTGAATGACGTAATCCTGCTACGAATATGAGCATGTGGAAGATCAAATTTGAAATTTGGATTTTGTTTTATGATCGATTTCATATTTTGTAAAAGTTTAACGAATTTTTGAGTAACAAACTCAACGATTTAAAAGCGAGCAATGGCAACACACTTACGGGGGGAAAAAACCTTTTTATCTCCAGCGCTCGGAAATGTGTATCGGAAATCCTAAAGATATGCTCATTTTAAAATTATTTTTGCGACACTGCCATTGAACTGAATTTTATGGTTTAAGTGCAAAGAACGTAATATTTAATAAATAAAGGTAACGCACAAAACGTTAAAAAAAACCCCTTTGGACGTAATTTAAAATCTGAAACCTTTCAGATTTTTTAAAATTATTATTAATTAATTTTTTTTACCTATGAATCTGCAGGAAAAGTTTGAAAATGGTGTATAATCTTAACTTTCAAATTTTGCATAGACAATGAAAAGAAAGATATAATACTTTTAACCATAAAGCGGATTCTACTCTTAAATTCCTGTATTCAACAGCGCCCGCCTTTCTTCGTTCTGGTTTTTAAGTGAAATCGCGTGTTCTAAGCAAAGCCTGCCTAATCCCTAAATAAGCCATCTCTCGTATTTTGTTATGCAACTGAAATGTAATATATTGTTAAGAATTTTGTATATATGTAAATAATTTTAGTGAAATTATGTGTGAAACTATAGTATCTTTTGTATGATGTAACATGAAAAGATTTGCCGCAAAAATAATATTGCAGGTTCAAATCTATTTAACATTGAGACAAATGACTACTTCGCTAAATTGGCGGGATATCACCAAAGCAGGGATGGTTTTCGAGACTAATTTTTGTCCCCAAATTTGGCGAGAAATTGCCAAAAGTTACCAAAATTGGCGATATTTTGGCCCGCTCCCTATACGACTGTAATTGATACTGTAAATGAATAACTGTAATTGACACCTGTATATAACTGTAACCATATCTGGCCCTTATATGTAACTTTTACCGTATATGCACTTCCAGTAACTTCGAGATATGGAACGTACTAGAGATTTCTTGGCGGTCGGGGCAAAACTATATAAAACTGGAAAGACCATCAGTTCCTAGTCCTTAGTTCAAAGTGGACTTCAGAGTACTGAAAGTATTGCGAGCTTCGCTACTTATATACGCTTTGCAATGTGTTGTGTTTAGCGTTTTTAAATCGTTTGGAGTGATGACTACTGATTGTGCTCTGTTATACTGAGAGGAGCTGTGCGAGTACTTTTTTTGGAAAGTTCCCAGACCTGTAAAGTGTTTCTTTTGGGGAAGGATAAATTTTATCAAGCTATAATCAATTCTGTGAGCATTTAATCCACTAGACCCCGTACGCGCATAACAGTATGATTTGTATGGCATTTTATTCAGCAATTAGTAGAACTCACATTGATATTAAACGTTAAAGTTACGAAACATTTTCTCTGGGAAGACAAAAAACACGCGGAAAGCTTGAACAGCTGAGAAAGAAAACTTACATGTGAAATATGTTTCTGCTAGGATGAGGAAATTTTGTGGGTTGAACTCATCTCGCCAAAGGAGGCTTTTTTACGAATTAGAAGACAAAATAAAAATTCTGTTTTATGTGATGCTGAAGAATACAATAAATAGATACATTTATTTTATCTTCAGTCAGTCTTGTAGCTGATAATTTACTCAGCTTTAATTTCAAGATACTTTGTTTCATTTTATAATTTATAGAGCATTCATTTGTTTTATTTATTCTATTTAATTTTAATATCGATAAATTACTTATATGTTTTTATTACTTTTTATTTAATTTTATTTTATCTTTACCTACTTATTATTAATTGAATTTAGTTCATTAATATTTTATTCTTTATACTTTTTTCACTTTGTTATAATTTTTATTGTTTTTATTGTTATTTTTTATTTATTATTTCCCCCTTCCTAAGAGCCGTCTATAGGGGTCCGGTACTTCTAATTTAAAAAATTAAGTCTTCAATCTAGGCTTACTTTAGAGTTTTATTTAACTCATAATTATAACGTTTCATAAATGATGAAAATTATGCGGTAGTATTCCAATCTGCTGATAATTTTTTTTCGGAAGTATTTAAGTGGATTTTGTTAATATATAAGACGCTTGCTTCTTCATGAAACTGTGCTATTGTTTCTTTAGAAGCAAATATCATTGATAACTGCAATTAAATAAAAAAAAAATTCCTGTTAAAAAGGGGGGAGCGAAATCTTACATTGCTTTCAACAGTCTGCTTCCCGAATATTAGTTTGATCAGCATGTTGCTCCCTCCCCCCCAAAAAAGATTTAGAACTGTAACTGTTTAGATTTAGAACGTCATGGAGCTTCTTCTATAAATAAGATGTTATTGAATTTAATTATCTCTCGTAAATAAATCGTGCGAAAATGTTTTGTTCGGCACAGGCATGCCCGGCAGATGGCGTTGCATCCTCCTCGCAAGTCATCTTAGTAATCAGCGAAGGGGTGGATGCGAAGCTTTCGCGACGGGTACTATGCTTAAGGGAACGGTGTACTTTAAAAATTAGTTTTTTGAGGGGACTGTGGACTTTAAAAATTAGTTTTTTAAGTTTTTGCGTTTTCAACAAGAAATTTTACACATATTCATATTATAACATCAGTTTATAAAATATATGTTCAAAATTTCAATTTATTTTAAATAAAATTTTAAAACAAATAATTAATTATTTTAATTAAAGATTAAAATGTTCCTTGCGCTCTAATTTTCAATATTTTTTCCTAATTTTTCTTTTTTAGTTAGTTATAAAGTCTTAACGAAAGATTTTGTGTATCCGTTATTGAATATGATGAATCAAAAATTTTTTAAAAGGAATTTTGTGAACTTAAACCCAGTTATTGGAAAAATATCACCTTTTGTTAACTATTATCACAAGTTTAAACTTTTTAATAACCTCATATCAAAAAATGCATACACAGTTATACTATAACATATAACAAGATAGTTTCTTCCAAATAACATTCATTTTGAACTACATATGAGTCGTATGGAGCATTTTGAAGACATAGGAACTGCCAAAAAATTTGTTTTGAGAAAAACGAATTTAAAGTTTTTCTTCAAACTTACCTTTAATACATGATCATGAGAAACAGCAAATTAACTTTAAATATGAATTTGTAAACACTAGATAACATTTTGTATTATTTAACTATTTTTAATCTCATAATATTAAATATGACAAATATAAACATATCTCAAATTGGTATTTGATGCAAAGTTATAGGGAGAAAGAATTTATGCATTATATCCAATGAAACTTTTAAAATAAAATTCACCCGCACCATATGTTTTATCATCCTGACATTTCTAGCCTTTTTTTTTTTTTTTTTTTTTTTAGAAATAAATACTTCTTTTCGGCGAATATATAAATATTATAGCTATTGAAATACATTTTTTTTTTACATTTTCTCCAAAATTTAAAGGGCAAAGTTTACACTGTTTATTTACTTTAAATGGTTGTAACGTCTTTAAAAATTAGAATATTTGAATTCGTTTTTTTGCATAAGATGTAGTTACGTATATGGAATATTACGAGAGTAAAATATTAAATTCAATATTTTGGATGATTTTTAGCTATTTTAAAGTCCACCGTCCCCTTAGGACCTGCGATTTCTAGGTAACCTTCTGCAACTTCAATTAGAGAACTAAGTTTCAGAATTCCGACCGTCATGAGCCCATCGGGCACCATCTCAACTGAGCCGGAACAAGTCTCACCACATGTGTGATATTCTTGGCTTCCAAGAATAGGAACTAGATGGGCATCGAACCGCTCTGCACTTTCCCAACGCGGGATTCCTGCTAGGACTTCTTACCGTTAGGCGCCCATGGAGGCATGTGAGCGGGAACACTTCAAGTAAAATGCTCGATAATCTCAGCTAATAGTGGTAGTTGGAGTTGGGCACCAAAACGCTGTCTTCGGACAGCGTGCTAACTGGATGCATTGTGTTGCGCAGATGGGCAAGTAAGTCTAACTTTGCCTGCTAAGCCTGCTAAACTTAACTTTGGAAAAAAATGTGCATTAATTAAGTTTATCGTCCAATTTTTGGTACATTATGAGAGAAGCACGGAGCACTCGGGTAGTTATCAGAATTAATTTTAAAACTTTATGTTTTCCTTAAAAATTTTGTAAAATAATCAGTTCTAGAGTAATGTCATTTTTGACTATACGGAAGAAATATCAAAACATAGATTTTATTTAATGCAACACATTAATAAAAATAAAAGTTGTTAAAACTCTGCTTCATAAAAATTCAGCCTGTATGATTTTTGACTTGCCTCAAATAAATATATGTAAACAAGTAAATACGTATGTATTGGAATCGCTACAGCTATCACTTTCCAGTGCTGCAAAAATATCATCACTGCCTTCAGTGTAAGGAGAAGAGTCATTTATCTTTCATATATACTCTTCTTCTGTTAAATTCCGTTTTTGTTTTGCCATTTAGGCGTAAAAGTATTTACGAACGATACTTTATATCGGTCTTAACGCTAGAAAAAATAGATAAAAACTCCCCCAAAAAATAAAGATAAATAAAACTCAAAACTTGAACATCATCCCGTCATATTCTCTCAAAAAAAGTATTACAAAACATCGAGAATCGCTGCGAAATTTTTTACATCAACTGATGCAGTTAAAGAGCCATTACACAGCTCAACACCCACGAATCTCGCTCTCATTCCGAAAAAAATATTACCAAAACTAAAAAGCATTGCATAGGAATGATGGTCAATGTACTTCACTTTCGATAAATTTCACCATAGCAGACACACAGTAATATCTAGTGGCAGCAAAAAATACTAATTAAGTGTTATATCTTAAAAAGTTAGTAGTGCGCCCTGCCACAGAAGTGAATTAAATACAACCATTTTATTATCAATGACGATGTAAGTCAAAGATATTTGAAGAGGTTGCCATACGATTTGGCAAAATGTATTACATGAGTTCCATGGTTCGCGCTACAGGCTGAAGAAAACTTGTATATTCTTAAATAAAAGATAATTATTACTTCAGTATTAAGTTAATTACTTTAATGAACTTCTACTGAAAGTTAACATACGCACATTGTTAAAATTTATAAAAAAATAATATTCAATTATTTCATTTCGTACGCCTAAACAAGTATATCGGTTTATGAGCGAAATAATTTGTTTTTTATAGTACCTCTTCCATTTTCAAGGTTCCAGAGCAAGGTATAGGTTTCCACTGTTTTTTATGATGATGATCTCCAATAAGAGTATGGATAATTCCCTTATTATCTACAATTCTGATATTTGGTCCATCCGCAAAGTACAGCGTATTATCTACAGCAACCGCCATACCTGAAAATAAATACATATAAATTGAACTTATAACACTTATTTGCTATAAAAGTTTTCTAATTCAAAATATATATTTAAAAACTAAGCAACCGTAAAATTTAAAAATCAACGAGAGAGAGATTTTTTATGATTGGAAATTAAATGACAACAAAGGTTTTGGAATCGGAAAAACAATTTTTCGGTCATAAGTCGGTTTCATTATTTGAGTTTTTGGCATTATGTACTTTGAAATTTTTTGTATGGTAAATTCCTTATTTGATATTCTAAATCAGTGGCCTCCAAACTATACTCTGCGGAAACTTGGGATTCCAAGCAAAACTTCTATAAGGTTTTCGCAAGTCAGAATCAAAACGCGAAAGAATTTTTTAACATCACGTAGACAGTAAAACTAACTGTATAGAATAATAATAAATAATATTTTTATTTATATTATTAAACATGACATAAAGTAAATCTACTTTTATGAGTAAATTTGTAATCAAATGCTGACCATCGTTTTCATTTTCCATATAAGATGCTCAAAATATTGATATGTTTTCAATGCAGTTTAACATTTACTTTTCTAAGGATTATAGGGGTTCCGCTCCGTCAGAAATGATGCTTTAGAAATTAAACAAACAAACAACAGAAAATAAACATTTATAAAGATTTGTTCTGTTGGCAGAGTTTGAAGATTATTGCTACAGATATTTATGTTGTCTATTCCGTGTTTCGTTATTAACCACTAAACTTTCATTTCCCTGAATTATTTGAGTAGAATTCATCGACTGATTTACAGCTGCGAGAATTTAAATACTCTTCATTACATTTACTTTCTGACAGTTTTTAAATCTGATTAGGCTATTGACTAAAATTAGAAAGATTCCATTTTTTTTTTCACTTTGAAGAAAGAAATTTTACAGCTGTAGGCGAAAGACATTTAATAATGGTTTCTATATCAAACAGGAATGACTCACAATGGAGATGCTACTTCAGGCGCAGGAGAATCAACAAAGAAGGAACAATGACATTAATTTTATTTGAATTCGCTTCCTTTTGGGAAATCTCATATGAAAAGGTATGATAATATGGTATTCAATGTAGCTAGCACATGCGATGGGGAATAGCAAACTACATTTATGTCAATCCACATTTTATAAAAGTGTTTATGAACAATTCCCAAGGCGAAGAAGTAAAAACTTTTCCAAGGTGAAGCTTTTAGTTGTATGTGCAGATACTCACACATTTGATTCCAAGAAACAAGAAAAATCGTCGGTACTTTTGCCGAAAGTTGAACTACAGATTTTCCAACTACCAGCTTAATATGCTAACAGCTTACACCATGACAGCATATACAGATGAATGGGATAGTTTCTTCTTGTATTATTCCCCACTTAAAGAGCGACTGAAGAGAGAATCAAAAAGCAGTCGAGAGAATCCAGGTGGTGGCGAATTGTCGTCCACCGCATTTTAATTCAGACGCCGTTGTAGAATCTATTACATATTCGTACCTGGAAACATGAAAAATTGCCTGTGACATTGTCGGGATTCAAGCCACATAGCTTCCAATTGCCAGATGGACAAGAAAACACCAAGAATAGTTCTTTATGAAGAAAATTCCTTTATTGTTATAATAATTTAAAGCGCACAAAATCTACGTGGAAGCGAAAAATTGTCGACAACATTCTCGATGTTCTAGTACCGCTGTAAACGCTATTAGACATTTTGGTCGAGGAATTATAAAAACATCAATTTTGCCATCTCTAGTATCGGAATGACGGATTTTCTAATTGTAAGCTGGACATGCTAACCCCTCAGCTCAACAGCACGCATGAGGAATTCGATAATTCCTTACGTAGTTAACTGGAAACATAACAGTATAACCTTTGTGGCTACAAATATAGGGAAAATGGAAAAATGGTGTATTTCACGTTGCGAAACGTTGCGATTTATTTCTAGATTTTGAACATTAGTTCATTTCCACGTGGCTGAGGCTCACTATTTGCATTTACTTCATGCTCCATAAACGGGTTATAGTTTGTCGCATAATTTAACAATAATAATATCCGGTTTATGACAATCTTTACCGCTTTACACTTTTACGTCTTAATCGTTGTCTTATGAAAAATAAATGCATAATCATTACGGTTCGCTGTATTACGTCATTAATATTATTTTTCCTCTAAACGTTTTGTAAATAAACTTCACATATTATTACCTTTTGGATAGGCCAGGGAAGCCTCTAAAGCTGGTTTACCATCTCCACAATTATTGCGGTCTCTTGGAAGACATCTAACCCCGCTTCCAACGACGACATCAAAATTTGAATCAGGATCTTCAACTTTGTCTAATGAATGCACCCTCAAAATTTTATGATGCTCGGGAGCTGAAATATACAAATGTCCATCCGTTGGGCTCAGTGTAAGATGATACTGGCTTGAAACATCTGATGTCCTGCAAACAGAAAGAAAAAAATATGTGGAGAACTTGTGTGATATAATTTTAAAAATATTTTATATCAACATTTTAATAATTTTTGAAGCAAAGGAAAAGTATATTTCAAAGGCCTAATTCTAAAACTAGTCTTCAAGATATCATGTTCGGAACGAAGCAAGACATTTTAAAGATATCTGGCTTGAGACAGGTAGGACATTATGATTTTCCGGAAAGATAAGACAATCAAAGTGCTGATTTTTCTGGAGAGACGTTAAGAAATTTTAAAGACATTTTGATTAAGAAAAGTAACATGCTACGGCTTTGGAAAGAAGCAAGAGATTATTTAAGGCGTTGTCCTAACAAAGAAAGACATTTATGCACAGAACGAAGCAAAAGATTTCTGTCAGCAAAGTATTCATGTCATATCCGGAACGAAGCACTGTTTCCCCTCTTTAAGGTCACGAATCTAAAGCCAGTGGTTTGGGAGCAAAGAAAACATTTTTATTTCATTTTATTTGCCCACTTTCCGTTCCAGTATTTATTTTTTTATTCCCGAGGATCGGTAGCGTGGAATTTCTGAAATACTGGATGTTCTGCACGTACCAGATAAAAGCATTAAACAATATTTTAAGATGTCTACAACTTAAGGTAGAAATCCAATGTTCGATTAAAATTTAATAGCACTCTCAAAGAAGATGTAAAGAAATGTAAACGAAACTGAGGCTCTGTTCTTTTATTTCTCCCGGACGAAATAATCCTTTTTTAATTCCTTAGTTAGTTGTAGTTAAATTGAATTTTCAAAAAACGTTATTTCATTTCCTAATCCCCGAGACTTTATTATTGGATTAAGATCTTTAAAAGTATTAAATGCTTTACTTTTCGAGATTAAATTAGATTGAAATAAAGGTGTATTCTTAGGTTCCCAATAAAAATAAATTACTGTTTCAAAGAATTTTATTCAAATACGTATTTGTTACACAATAGTACAATTGGAAAAAACTAAGCATTCGCAATATTTCGAAAAATTAGCACATGTTATAAACTTAAAAGGTATTATTTATTTGTACGTAAATCGACTTTTTACAAGTGCAACAATTGTCATCTATTATTTCAGAAAACACTTCGGTTGAAAAAATAACCTCGTACTAACACTTTAAGAAAGCGTTATTAAAATGTATTTTTTCCGCGATGTATTTTCTAAAAGCCTTAACGCAAATAAAATGAATAAAAAAGTGAGATCCTTCTCCAGAACTAATGCATTGATCACTCAAAATTTCCACATTTGATCCAAGAAGGAATGGATTTAAAAAACTGACAACACTGCAAGTTAAGAAAATGGAGATAATGGTAAAATTTACTTACTTCATTCTGAACACTGTGTATACTTGGCCATTGGGTGTGATCCGTCTCACAAGATTGAAATCTCCGACATACACACTTCCATCCGGGCCACTTGCAAGGGCGACTGGAGAATGCAATTTATTATCCCTGGCAAGACCATTGCAGTCAGGGCACTGAAGTGGACGCGGCTGTCCGTTGCCTATCAATATGGATATCACCCTTGGCTGCTGACGGAAGTATATTGTGGCCCCGTCACCCTTTTGTAGCACTCCTATTACATGAAACCATCAATATGAGATGACAATACCGTCAACAGAATTTTAAAGATTTTAAAGGATAATGAAGCGAAAATGACATGTTTTGAATAGAGTGTCAAAATATAGAAAGGTTAACTGCATGAAAGAATTTTCGTCACTGTGTAGAAAAAGAATATTATGAAGGTGTTGGAAACTTTTAGTTAACAGACGATTGCTAACAAACGTAATAAATTTATGCTGAAAACAATTTATGAAACAATGGGTTGTTGCTTTCCCTAAAATAATAAGCTTAAGTGGGTTAGTGAGAAATCTTACTTTAATTTTATATTTCATTTCAGCTTTCATCTACATACTGAATTTTGTACTGTTTTTAACACTGAAGCACAACAATACTATTTTCTCAAAAACATTTGAAAAACTCAATAAATCTATATACGGAGATACACAAAATCATAACACTTAAGTACAACTTGAAAAAATCAAATATGAATGCATGCAATGCAAAACGTATGTTGTGAAAATAGATATTAAAATTGAAACAATATTTTAAATATGATTACGAAGTTTCAGAAAAAATAAAAACTTCAGCAAAGGTTCAATTAATAAAATGCTCATTCGTCATTGCTAAACACAAAAAAGTTCGATTCAAATACGTAAAAATGCAGTGGAAGTATTAATAACTAATATCTTCAAGAGACCAGTTAGGAAGTTAGAAACAAGTGCTAATTTACTTTAAACGAAACCATTAACTGTCAAAATAGATAGCATTTGTTTTGAAATTTCTCCCTGAGTATCATCGAAATACTGATATTTGCTGGGCAATAATGAGTTGAAAAATTATTTAGATCAGTAAATTCGTTCTATAATATTATATATCCGCGAATTTTGTACATAAAGTTACGAAAAATAATTTGTATTTAGTTTTGAAAGCATTATGAATATGAACAGAGCATTTTAATTTATGAAAACTATAGAAAATTTCTATTTAAATAAGTTTTCTAACTGTTTTTCATAGTCTTTTCCTAATTTTAAGAAGCTTGTAATGAAAAGTACATATCAGTATTTAAACATATAAATCGTTTTTACTGCTAAAATCCAGGGTTCCGACAGATGCATATTCATTGATTTTCATAGGAGTAAACATTATTTCTGATAAAATAGTGTGCTAAATATCTGTGATTATGTGATATGGTAGATAGTGATAATTATTTTCTGTTCCTTACCTGAGAATACTCATTCTTCTATTCTTTCTTTGCCTTTGTAAGTTTAGTTCTTACGTTGTTTTGTATGCTTTTGAATAAATATTTAGATAAAATGCTTAAGGCTCATGTCACATTTAGTACAATTTATTATATTACTCGTAATTCTTAATCTACATAAAATGCATCTCACACATATTGCCAGAACACTTTATTCTCTGCAGAGATGTCAGCAACAGAGGTTTTAAAAATTGAAATACTGTTTCATACCAACGCAAGCGTGACCTGGTATTCTGCCAAAAGACTTGCTCGACTGAATTTTTAGTTAGAAAATTGAGTAGTAATATGATAATTCAATGTATCTCATGTTCCCGAATCGCACTCATCTACTCTAGAGCGTAAAACAAGCGGTCTAAAAGGCGCATGCGGGATCTTGCTCATGGCTGAACGACATCAGGCATCAAGAAATTGTTTAAAATCTGTGAATTTCAAAAGATTTATTTCCAGATTCCAATACTAACCTTCGTGGAAATTATATCTATGATGGACGTCAAGATTCCAAGATCCGAGCTCCGAGATGTCCATGTCATAACCCCTGAGAGTACTTGCTTGCACAGTCCAGACAACGCGTTCGCAACTGCTGTACTTGTATCCAACATAAACTAAAACAGAAACAGAAATTGTACAATTTAATGAATTTTCGATATATTATTAAATTAACACTATTGGTAAAACTCTTCGCTGTTGGTAAACTTGTTTTTTCTTTCAGAAAATTAAATTCAAATATAATAAGAACAAAGCAAAGAAATCCAGCCGTATAATTCTAAGCATTATCTGTCTTTATCTATTTGTGTATATACAGGGTGTCCTAAAATATGTACACTTTTCGAACGTTAATAACAGGAATACTGATAATAGTAAGCATAATTATTTTATGTCATTTATCTTAAAAGCTTTAAATATTCAAAATGAGTTGCAATGGCAATAATATATCGTCCTCAAATACTGTGAAGCCGATCAATAAACAGCAGATTTGTTTTTGTCAGGAAGGGAAACGAAGACAGTTTCAATTGCATTTCTCTTGGCATCCCGTGTCCGTTACATTTTAGGTTTACACATTAGAAGTTTGCAATATCATCCTCACACTTCATCTCTTATTGCTGCATCATAATTTCTTCAAGTCACATACAGTTCCTTTCTCCTCAATCTTGTCACATACTCTTGCAAATGTTACACGTGCCTGTAGCAGAGAATCAGATTTTGTTCTCCATTATCTTTGTTTGTCAGGTTTTCGATAACGCTTTGAAATTCACTTACTTTGCTTGAAAGGAACAACCACAGCGGGCGATTAACTCCTGGCAGGTTGTGACGAAGCTAAATCAGCAGAATGCCTATATGTGCTCATAAACAAACATAAACATTGCACATTCAAAAACAAAATGTCCATTCAGATCAATCTTTAACAGTTTTTTTGATATTAACATTCAAAGAGTATAAATATTATTTTGGGACAATATATATAATAATAGTACGTATATAAAAATAACCTAAAATAAAAATAAATAATTTCGTCCATATTTTAAAAGTTAAATGTCAATAACAATTTTCCAAAAATTGCAAAAAAGAATTAGCCATCAAGTCTACGCAACTGACAAAGGTAAAGCAGCACAGAAATGTATAAAATAGAAATATATTAAAAGATTTAAAAGATTGCGAGGCTTCAAAATAAATAAAACAAACAAAGGTAGGAGATAAATTCAAACTTCTAAATAGCAATATAAAATTCCGACGAGTAACCAAAATATAGAATAACAAAGAATAAGAAAATAAACAAAACCGAATCGCAGAAAACAAAATTCACAAGAATAACAAATTGAACGTATTACACGTCGTTTGTAAAAGCAACATTCATAGCAAAGATATAGAATTGCAATGCTAAAACAAGTGAAGCTGTATCTTGAGAATTAAGTAAACATAAAAATCTCTTTACGACAAAGATTTGAAATAATTCAGATTGCAGAAATAAGTTTTAATTCTGCAAATTTAAACCATTTTCTCGAAGATTCTAAAAATGACTAGAATTAGTAAAAAGGGATATAATACAGAATTATTCAAAGACAATGAACCAATTTTATGAAGCTGTATATTAAGTAAAAAAAATTCAAACTTCTCATCAGACAAAACGTGTCCTATTAATAATGAAATTTTATTTTCTGTTCTACAATTTCAACGTTCTGTCCTACAGTACAGTTTTCCTACAGCAGCAAGGATAAAGTGAAACCGACATGAGAATTTCTTCCAAATTAGTTACAGAGTATCATGTTTTGGGAGCCATGAGAGTGTTATTAAATTGTTTTCGAAAAAACCTCTACTCTGTGGTAATCCAACTGATTTTCGCGAATTCGAACATGCAGAGGACTTTTGCTAAAATTAGGTTACTTAAATACAGCAAAAGTATACGAAGATTATCTGTCCAAAGGGAGGAATGCCTTCGTGGAAGACTTTATAAGGCCTAGAAATAAGACAGTACGATTGATATATAATAATTATCAATTATAGTCGAGTCCTATAATCGAGTCCGGATCGAACAATCAGTATTCCAGCGGTCTTAGCCGCACGGCCATTGACTGGGCCTTTTGCTGAGATTCGCCTTTCCGCGCGTAATCAAACAACTACGGTATAATGGTTAGCGAGTCGTCCAACTGGTACAGTAGTTAGCGTCGCTGACTGCCATGCCAAAGGGCCCGGGTTCGAATCCTGAAAATGGCATGGGTGTTTGTAAATGTATAGTGTCAGTGTGGCATCGCGGCACTCTAAATATGCGGCGAGCCGAAAGTCCTCTCGAGTGGTTTGATGGAAGGAAAGAGGAGTATGAGACCCTAGGGTCCGTCCCTTCCCGGGGTACTCTCCATCAAAATTGGGAGCGGAACTGAGCCAAACACTCAACTGAACCAAATGGCACTGTCACCTGTTAGGTGTTCAAGGCAATTGCAAACGACAGATGTAATCTAGCGCTCCTTGCCACGAGGAGTTTCGTGGGCTTGAGCTAACTACGTCAGACAAGTGAGCATAAGCGACAATAACAACAGTGGTTAGCGGTGATGACTGTTGCTGAGCGTGTAAGTCTAAAGTGTCTGTGCAGCACTGAGGGCGCTCAAAACAGTAGCAAGCCGAAAATCCTTTCGAGTGGTTTGAGTTAGGAGAGGAGCATGGGAGACCGCCGGATCCGTTACCCTGTAAGCTCTTCATCAAAACTGGGACAGAACTGGCTAAAGTCATTCTGTTAACTTTAAGGTGCCCAGGGCTCATGCTAATTGGTAGACGCAATCCTACGCTCTTCGTCACTCTTGCTTGACAATAGCGTAAAATTCATATAGATTGTTCTGATGTTTGATGTTGCTGTCAGGCAGGTGAGATATGTAACAGCGAAAACACTTATGCAGGAAAAACTGAAATTCTGGTGTACGACGCATGCACGGTTGAACTGCTGACAACTACTGAAAACTTAACCTACTTCTTCTACTGTCCCAAGGTGGTGAGTGGCTCTTTCATGAAGATTCTGTGACACAGGATTTTAAAAATGGTTCATTATTTTATTATTTTTGAATAATTCTGTAGGATTGTACATTATCTGGAACTATTTACCTCAAAAGATGGGAAGCAAATCATCGCTCTGTCTAAGTAACTACAAGCCATGGAAAAAGTTTTATTAAATAGAACTTAATACATGAGTGCACGATCTTGTGCTAACAATATCAATCACAACTCGTGGTGATGAAACTAAAGGAACAGTCAATTTCAATTTAAAACGTAGACCGCACAATTATATTTAAACCTTACCTGGCTCAGAACTTCTAACCGGCGTATCAAATTTAAATTTCGGCAGCAAAAAAGCAAAGCCGATTAATTACAACTTTACAACTTTATCAGAGATGGCAGGAACTAACATAACGTGTCTGAGAGAGGCAGAATCAAACTCTGTCTTACAATCCAAAAACCTCAGTTTAAATACTAGCAAACTGATTTGCATTCCGGTGAGAAAACAGAAAGGAGACGTTAGAATAAAAGTTGAAATTATAAATAATAACGTTACAATCCAATACTTTATATTTAATTAACAATTAAATTAACATCAACAAGAGACTACATACTGAAAACTGAAAATCATTATTCTTCTACATTGAACACAGCTATTTTTATTTTCGTTAAAATATTTTCTAACCTCTTGCAGTAGTAAGGCCGTATACTTTTTGTTTGTATACATTTCTTTTATTCCATGCAAAAGTGTACTTGATATCTGGATCTGCTTCAAAAGTTTTCTCTACTAAAAATCCTTCCACGACAATCCTTAAATGGACCAATCGGAGCGTCTCCGGCACACTGGATGGAGTTAGCTGGAGGTGTATGGTTGATAGATAGCCTTGGGCATGGCTACTGTGGTAAACTAGGTGTAGATCCGACCCGGGTATGGAAAAGCTCTCTTGCAACACCTGAGAAGAAAAGGAAGGGATTTGGGTGGGGCTTCTAATGCAAAGATAGCTAAAGATTTGAAGCATAGGGGAATAAATACACAGAATCACTTAACACTCTTTTCTGCTCCAAAGCATGAAATTCCTGTGTTATGGCTGTAACGTTTTTAAATAAAGAACTAAATAAAAGCAACACTTTGAAGAATATTAATTGGGATGTTTTTATGATCAATTACTATAAAATTTGGAGACCTGTAAATTCTAAGATTTATCGCTCTTCAGACTACCGGGTTTTGGCAAACATTAAGATGAGCATGTAAATCTCAGAACCGACTGCTGTATCTTAGCATTTATCAATGTCGGGGGGCAAAAATCCAAATTAACAAACAAACATTTAAGCATCGGTCCACCATCAACAGATATTGGTAGTTCCTAAGAATTTATCAATGCGAACTGGTAAAAGACACGTAGTTAATACCAGTTTCTCCCTGTTTTACATTCTTTCTCCCACTGGCTTCTTAATCGCATCTGCTTTCTTTTGGATTCATCAATAGGAAGGGTTTTATTTGTAAAATTGTTCATGGGAAATAATAACAATCGGTTCTCTACAGACATTTAGTAAGATTTGGTATTTTCACTATTTTAACATAATTTAAAGTTCATTTTGAACGGGATTCAGGCTTGGGAATTTTTAAATAAATCCAATCGATTGTAGAAAATAGATTGCACTTTCTAAACGTTCCAATTCCTTAATTTTCATTGATAAATTGCTTTAATAATCTAAAATGTATGATTACTCTTACCAGGCCCGATAGGTTAATCACATTTACCACCAGTATTTGGAGAATAAGTTAATAAATATGAAGATGTATTAAATTAATTTCAAAATTTACAGGTCTCCAATTATTTCGTGCAATACATACACATAAGGTAATATTTTAAATTAGTATTTCTTTGCTATACACAAAGAAATGATAGTCTGTTTCGATTTAATGAACACCTGTTGATATATTGCCAAAATACTACCATAATATAACACTATAATATTGCATTCAAGAAGTGAAGAATTATTTTTAGTTCTCATTTAAATAAATTTATAAAAGATACCAAGTTTTATTTCTAGAATAATTAGTGTAAGGAAAAGAAATTAATACCTGGAGTTTAAAAATAATTGTTTCGGTATTTTACGTACGTGTTCTCATTAAGAATCGTTAAGACCAGTCTGGTGAGACATATAGCTTTCAAAGCGCTTTGATTCTGTCTTCATAGTATAACGGAAAACGAATACAGAGAATGTATTAGATTGAAAATGGGAATTGGCTACACAATTTTTAGTGAATATGACTGCTTACTTAAACGAACTGAAAATGTGCTTATAATAATTACACTCCTGCACAAAAAATAAGCAACAAAGGCAAAACATGGAATAAAGCAAAAAAACAAAAACTATTTGATGAAAATTTTGTGAAATTGATACAAGAGTTTCAAGTATTACAACCATCACATCGCGAAAGACCAAATGGTTCGGTATAATGTGCAATGGAAACATCCCGCTAATAATGGGTATGATACCCGTTAGCTGACATGACATGCATGCTTGAGAACAGCGAGGCAAACTATCAGTAGTGTCTTTGATCGCTTGTTGTGGCAGCAGCGCCCACTCCTGTAGTAATGCATGCCGGAGCTCGCGGAGGGTGCCTGGAGGTACTCTGCGACCTGCAGAGTCGTTCAACCATTTTCAACACATGCTCATTGGAATTCAGGTACGCTGATTTATCAAGCTACATGAAACATGAAATGGTTTTCACTCTTCAGATAGCTCTGCACCTCTCAAGCTTTTATGTCGGCGGGTGTTATCGTCCATAAATATCACGTCGATATCCATTGCAGCCATAAAAGGACGCACAAGGGAGCACGAATTTAGTTGCAATATGGGACGGCTGTGACGAAACCTCCAGGAACGCCGTTCGTTTCTATCCCACTAGCGTGTCCTTGGCTCACTATATCAGTGTCCTTCGGAAATAGATCTGGAGTTAAATTGAGATTCATACAGTACGTGGCTCCACTGCTCTAGTGTCCAACTGCGATGTTCACGGGCCCAAATCAACCGCTTTCTTACATGCGATGGGGACAAAGAAACACGAACCACAGATCGTCGGGCGTAGAGTTCGTTTTCATACAGTCGACGCGACACAGTTTGGCGGGATATAGGCCGTTCTGCAGTATTGGAGAGATGCGACGCCAGCTGTCGTGCTGTTAGCTATGTATGCCATATTACACATAGCAATATGAAGCGATTATCTACTTTGATTATTCTCCGGTGTCCAAACCCACGTCTTCTACAGGGGTTTTAATCCCTTTGGTAGCGGTTCCACAGCTTACGATGATACTCCAATAAACATTCAGCTCTTTCGCAGCAGTGGATTGTATTGCACCAGCTTGCAAGATTCCGACAGCTCTCCAACGCTTTTCATCTTGAAAATGGTGTCTTCGGCTCGTGCTTTCCGCATTGGCTATTACGGATTACAGAAAACTATCGTTGCTTGCTAACTGACGCGTAGGTTCGACATGCCCCTTTTTAAGGCGTTGCGGTGTGATTGTGGGATTGCGTTTTATTATAATTTTAGTGACCTTGTAGAGTTATTAGGTTATTTAGAAGCCGGAGAGATGAAAAATGAGCAACGCCTTCGCCGGAATCGAATCACGGTTTTTTTAGGGGACCCAATTTGCCAAATCCTGGGGTGTGGAGAATCATTATCCAACACCCTTTTAATTCGGGTGCCACTGTAGAGACATTAGGTAATTTTTGGAAGCAGAAGATGTGAAAATGAGCAACGTCTTCGCCGGAAATCGAACCACGGACTTCTGGAAAACGCGCTCAGCGTGCAGACCGCTACACCGCGAAGGCATGCTAAGATGGCGGGAGAAATACTTATAGCCTCATGCATTTGCGATGCAACCTGTTTGTCAATTCCACTTTACTTTGTACCTTTCTTTTGCGTTTGTTGCTTATTTTTAGCGCGAGTGTATTAGAGACCAAAAGCTAGTAACAAATGAAGTTTCAAAGAAAGACAGAACTCGAAATTAAATTGAAATTGCTGCAGTTTCACATTAATAGAAAAATTAATTTGAAATTCTGACAACTTGAATTTGAACTTGAATTGGTGGGGTGATCTACACGCTGGGCGCGTATCCAGAAGTCCGCGGTTCAATTCCCGGCGAAGGCATTGCTAATTTTTCATCTTGCCTGCTTCCAAAAATGTCTCTACAGTAGCGCCCGAACTAAAGGGTGTTGGATGAGGATCTCCACCCCAGGATTGGTGTTTGGGTCACCTAAAAAAAACCAGTCGCCCCTTTAAACGGGGGTAAATGATATTCTTCCACATTCTTGACATGCCTTGTGTATGGTGATCGCAAGCTGGGCGCGTATCCAGAGGTCCGCGGTTCGTTCCCGGCAAAGGCGTGCTAATATTTCATCTTGCCTGCTTCAAAAATCTGATGTCCTACAAACGTTTATTGAGTCAGTTCCCTTATAATTTCCTCCACGAAGGCATCCCTCTCTTTAGGCAGATAGCCTCGCGTGCTTGCCATAATTAAGTAACCATTATAATCTTTTTCGCTACGCTTGTCCATTCACATACATATGCCATTAGACTTTGCTACTTTGTTTATGTACATGCTGCAGTTACTGTCAAAAACTACTATCTGTCAAATGATACCCTTGTTTGAAATTCATGCACAAGACGATTACGGACACTGATGCCACGGTCAAGACATCCTGTGTATACGATCAGTTTACTCTCTGATTCGTTCTTAAGTTCTTCCACACTTCTCAGCTGGTCGTATGTACTTATCTTCAAGTGTCTCCCGAGGGAGATGACTGGAGCATTAATTAGGTAAGGAAAAGAAATTACCTGGAGTTTAAAAAAATAATGTTCGGTATTTTACGTACGTGTTCTCATTTAAGATCGTTAAGACAGTCTGGTGAGACATATAGCTTTCAAAGTTTGATTCTGTCTTCTGTATAACGAAAACGAATAAAGAGAATGTATTAGATTGAAAATGGGAATGGCTACACAATTTTTAGTGAATATGACTGCTTACTAAAACGAACTGAAAATGTGCTTATAATAATTACACTCTGCACAAAAATAAGCAACAAAGGCAAAACATGGAATAAAGCAAAAAAACAAAAATATTTGATGAAAATTTGTGAAATTGATACAAGAGTTTAAGTATTACAACCATCACATCGCGAAAGACCAAATGGTTCGGTATAATGTGCAATGGAAAATCCCGCTATAATGGGATGATACCCGTTAGCTGACATGACATGCATGCTTGAGAACAGCGAGGAAAACTATCAGTAGTTGTCTTTGATCGCGTGTGGTGGCAGCAGGCCCACTCCTGTAGTAATGCATGCCGGAGCTCGCGGAGGTGCCTGGAGGTATGCGACCAGCAGAGTCGTCAACCATTTTCTACACATGCTCATTGGAATTAGGTACGCTGATTTATCAAGCTACATGAAACATGAAATGGTTTTCACTCTTCAGATAGCTCTGCACCTCTCAAGCTTTTATGTCGGCGGGTGTTATCGTCCATAAATATCACGTCGATATCCATTGCAGCCATAAAAGGACGCACAAGGGAGCACGAATTTAGTTGCAATATGGGACGGCTGTGACGAAACCTCCAGGAACGCCGTTCGTTTCTATCCCACTAGCGTGTCCTTGGCTCACTATATCAGTGTCCTTCGGAAATAGATCTGGAGTTAAATTGAGATTCATACAGTACGTGGCTTCACTGCTCTAGTGTCCAACGCGATGTCACGGGCCCAATCAACGCTTTCTACATGCGATGGGGACAAAGAAACACGAACCACAGATCGTCGGGCTAGAGTTCGTTTCATACAGTCGACGCGACACAGTTGGCGGGATATAGGCCGTTTCTGCAGATTGGAGAGTGCGACGCAGCTGTCGTGCTGAGTATGTATGCCATATTACACATAGCATATGAAGCGA